AAGGGAATAGGAAGACGACATTATAGCAATACTTCAGTATATTTGATGTTGTTACAAAGCAAATAGTTTTACAGACACTTTTTAAGTCACTTATTTAGTGAAATGGTTCTGTTTACACTCAAACAATTGCTGTGTCGTTGCTCATTGGACTTTTTAAAGTTATAACTTGAGTCTAAAAATTGTATTCCTATTTTAGAGTTTTCTGGTTATCACTGTATTATTTACCAGGCACAGTTACAAACCTAATTTTAAGAAAAAATCATAATTTATCATTATCATCATTAATTTATCATGGTGAGATGTTTCGAACAGCCTCTTTCTAACTAAAATTCATTTCTATATATTCTGATATTTTGAAAATGTTTTAGAATCCTTATTTTAAACCCAAAAGAGGTTTTCTTAAAGTTACTGGTAAACGTGTAAATAAAAAATACACCGCTTTTAGCACAAGCTGAGGTTTCCCTAGGAGGGGGGGGGGGTGAGATAAGTCGGCATCTCACTAATTTCAGAAGTAGTTAAGGAAAAAATTAATGCCTTGGATCATTGGGTTATTGCTCATAAGATTCATCCTTTCCAATAAATGAATCAATCATCATTGGAAATTAAAAAAAATCAGGGTTTTTCAGGGAAAAACACTCTTTAAGAGGCTAAACACTCATCAAACTATAAAAAATATATGGAAAAAAGTTAAAATACTTCGATTAAAATGAGTATTTTGCCCTGTTTAGTCTGAATGAATTCGATGAATAATATTTAGTGAAATGTAAAGGATGGATATTTAATTGTATGTAAACGTGAACAAGAAATATTGTTTCTCAAATTCAAAATTATTATGAAGTTCAGTTTAACTGATCGGTGTCAGGAATTAAGTAAATTAAATAAATGCAAAAGAAAAAATTAGCATAGTTAAATAAAATGAATGATTTAAACAAATGGCATGGGGAACCATAATTTATGAATAGCGAGAATTGTAGCTGAACGGTGCAAACATAGTTCAACCACTCAATTGTGCCCAGTTCAAAATAAAGAAGGAATTAACTCGAAATTTCTAATCACTATATCTATCCAACCTGATGGTGTAAACCTTTGATATTTAAAATTAAAAAAATCAGGGTTTTTTTTAATGAAAAAAAACACTCGTGATGAGTCTATAACACTCATCAAACTATAAAAAATATATGGAAAAAAGTTAAAATACTTCGATTAAAATGTGTATTATGCCCTGTTTAGTCTGAATGAATTCGATGAATAATATTTTGTGAAGTGTAAAGGATGGATATTTAATTGTATTTACACGTGAACAAGAAATATTGTTTCTCAAATTCAAAATTATTATGAAGTTCAGTTTAACTGATCGGTGTCAGGAATTAAGTAAATTGAATAAATGCAAATGTAGGTGTTTTATCAATTAGAATATATCAACCTATCTTACATTGATGTAATGCTAAACAAAAACAAAAACAGACCCAATACGTAGCAGGATATCACATTTTAGTAAGGGTAGGTGCTCCATTTTCTTATTCAATAAATTATATTTTTAAAGTACGATTTTGTTGTAAAAATACCACAATTTCCTCACAAAATGTTCAGGGAAAAAAAGTAATAGTTTTGCAATCCTCATGCCCCGGGACACAAAAAGGTCTCTAGATTTCTAGAAACTGTGTCATACTGGCAATTGGAAATTAGATTTTTTGCAAAAAATTCATTTCAGATTTAATTTTGAGCAACATTAAACATTTTCTTAATTTTGATTTGTTCAGATTTCAGATGGCATTTATGATTTCATTTTCAACCTGTGATTTTAAAATATAATTTCAGATTCATGATTGTCAAACTACATTTCTGACTTGTGTTTTAAACACTTTATGTTTTGTTTTGTGATTATCTACATACACGACTTATTGTTAAGATATTGAATATCTACGTATACGACTTGTTGTTAAGATATTGAATTGCAAAGAATCGATCAACGTCAAATATAAAAGGAATGTAAATTTTAGATAGTTCGCTTCGGACAAAATCATCAAGCTCCCTGTAAGGAAATCTATCCAAATATAAGACCGAAACAAGATGCATTCATGCAAATTAAAATGTTAATTGTAATTGGTTTATTGTCAAGAATATGTCTTATTTACAGTAGATACCTTCACTGCTATAGAGTAGGACAAATAATGAATACAGTAGATACCTCCACTGCTATACAAAAGGATTTGCGCAGTATACAGTAGATACCTCCACTGCTATGCAGTAGGATATGTGCAGTATAAAGTAGATACCTCCACTGCCATACAGTAGGATATGTTCATTATACAATAAATACCTCCACTGCTATACAGTATACTTTAGATACCCTAATTAGGATATGTGCAGTTCACAGTAGATACCTCCACTGCTATACAGAATACATTAGATACCTCTACTGTTATAATTAGGATATGTGCAGTAAACAGTAGATACATCCACTACTATACTGTAAGATATGTACTGAATACAGTAGATACCTCTACTGCTATACAGTAGAATATGCTCAGCATATAGTAGATACCTCCACTGCTATACAGTAGGATATGTTCAGCATATAGTAGATACCTCCACTGCTATACAGTAGGATATGTGCCATATACAATAGATACCTCCACTGCTTTACAGTAGAATATATTCAGCATATAGTAGATACCTCCACTGCTTTACAGTAGGATATGTGCAGTTTACATAGGTACATCCACTGCTATTCAGTAGGATATGTACAGTATACAATAGATCCCTCCACTGCTATACAGTAGGATATTTGCAGTATACAATAGATCCCCCTACTGCTATACAGTAGGATATGTACAGTATACAATAGATCCCTCCACTGCTATACAGTAGGATAGGTACAGTATACAATAGATACCTCCACTGCTATACAGTAGGATATGTACAGTATACAATAGATCCCTCCACTGCTATAAAGTAGGATATTTGCAGTATACAATAGATCCCTCTACTGCTATACAGTAGGATATGTACAGTATAAAATAGATCCCTCCACTGCTATACAGTAGGATATGTACAGTATACAATAGATCCCTCCACTGCTATACAGTAGGATATGTACAGTATACAATAGATCCCTCCACTGCTATACAGTAGGATAAGTACAATATACAATAGATCCCTCCACTACAATACAGTGGGATATGTAGAGTATACAATAGATCCCTCCACTGCTATACAGTAGGTTATGTACACTATACAATAGATCCCTCCACTGCTATTCAGTAGGATATGTACAGTATACAATAGATCCCTCCACTGCTATTCAGTAGGATATGTGCATACTGATGTTTCAGAAACCTTAAATGGGAATTCCTAGTTATAAAACTTCACCATTAAGAACTGTTCTAGGAGATAAGTTAACACGAAATTTAAGGGTCTCAGGATCTCAATGTCATAGGACCTCAGGATTTAAAGATCTCAGGATCTCGTGCTTTAAGGATCTCAGGATCATAGGATCTCAGGATCATAGGATCTCAGGATCATAGGATCTCAGGATCATAGGATCTCAGGATCATAGGATCTCAGGATCATAGGATCTCAGGATCTGAGTATGTCAGTATCTCAGTATCTCAGGATGTCAGGATGTCAGGATCTCAGGATCACAGATCTCAGAATTTCAGGATCTCAGATCTCAGGATCTCTTGATCTCTGGATCTCAGGATCTCAGGACCTTAAGATCTCAGAGTCTCAAGATCTCAGGATCAAATAAAAGATAAAGTAATACAATTTCAACAAATTATATAGTTTTTATATTTTTAAGTTATGTGTACTATCAATGAAACAGAAAATATAGCTGTATTCTCATTCTTCTGTTTAACCCTGAATTTCGGAGACATTGAAAGAATTATAAAACTAGCCTTAGAGGGCGCTTCCGCGCCCATCTTCTAAATTAATTGTGAACATGTTCTCTTTGTGTACATCGTAAAACAAAACAAAAATAATTCGCGGATTTTCACAAAAAATTTCTTGGATTTTCAAAATTTTAAAAAATTTGATAAAAATCCAATTTTGATAGAGACAAATATTTGAAATTTTGATCATTCATAAACCATCCCTGGGGTCACTAGATGTCCCACAAAAAATTTGGGCCCGATCGGTTCAGCCGTTTTGGCGTTTATTGGATACAAACAGACAGACACCCAAACAAACAAACAGACAGACAAGCCAAATTTATATATAGATGTCGTTTTCTAAATCTACTGATAATAATTTGCTAATGACACTTAGATTTTTTAGTTGAATGATTATTTGGAGCTCTTTAAAACTGTTCCCTCATTTTTATGCCAATTTATTTATTTTTACAATTAGATTTAGGTATGAAAGTAAAACATCTCATTGAAAAATTGTCAAGACAACATTCTATAGATTTGAAAATTTTTATTTTTAGTTTTCCTAGTTGCTTTTGAAAAAAAAACTAGAAAATAGTTGTTAAAATTTGAATAAATATTAAACGTTTAAACTTTTTATCAGAAAAATAGTCAGTGCTAACTGCAATGCCTCCTAGGAAGTATTTGAGTAGAACACTTTTTGCTCAAATTAATCAATTTCAATTTTAATCCATTTGAATTATTCAAGTCATTTCAAAAGTTAGGAATAAAAATTTAATTTTGAGGAAAATATTACTTTCATTTGTTTTAATTTTGTAACATAGATACACATTACACAAACACATTTCATAATTCTGTTTCATAAATACACATAGATACACATTACACAAACACATTTCATAATTCTGCTTCATAAATACACATAGATACACATTACACAAACACATTTCATAATTCTGCTTCATAAATACACATAGATACACATTACACAAACACATTTCATAATTCTGCTTCATAAATACACATAGATACACATTACACAAACACATTTCATAATTCTGCTTCATAAATACACATAGATACACATTACACAAACACATTTCATAATTCTGCTTCATAAATAAGATGTGATTATTTTACATCGAATATAGCACTACCATCAAATGTGTTCAGAACTTCTACGAACTCTGTGTCTCTCATACAGCCTTAAAAAATGATATAAAAATTCATAAAAATGAAAAAAAAACATTTATTGACCCCAATATTGAATATTTATTGACCCCAAATATTGAATATTTATTAACCCCAAATATTGAATATTTATTAACCCCAAATATTGAATATTGACCCTAAATATTGAATATTTATTGACCCCAAATGTTGAATATTTATTGACCCCAAATATTGAATATTTATTGACCCTAAATATTGAATATCCTAAATATTGAATATTTATTGACCCAAATATTGAATATTTATTGGCCCCAAATATTGAATATTTATTGACCCCAAATGTTGAATATTTATTGACCCCAAATATTGAATATTTATTGACCCTAAATATTGAATATTTATTGACCCTAAATATTGAATATTTATTGACCCAAATATTGAATATTTATTGGCCCCAAATATTGAATATTTATTGATTCTAAATATTGAATATTTATTGACCCCAAAAATTGAATATTTATTGACCCCAAATATTGAATAAATATTGACCCTAAATATTGAATATTTATTGACCCCAAATATTGAATATTTATTGACCCCAAATATTGAATATTTATTGACCCTAAATATTGAATATTTATTGACCCTAAATATTGAATATTTATTGACCCTAAATATTGAATATTTATTGACCATAAATATTGAATATTTATTGACCCCAAATATTAAATATTTATCGACCCCAAATATTGAATATTTATTGACCCTAAATATTGAATATTTATTGACCCCAAATATTGAATATTTATTGACCCCAAATATTGAATATTTATTGACCCCAAATATTGAATATTTACTGCCCCCAAATATTGAATATTTATTGACCCCAAATATTGAATATTCATTGACCCCAAATAATGAATTAATCACTTGCGTCTCAAAAATATGGGAAAGAATAAAAATTAATCAAATAAATCTCCGTCGAAAAAATTTATAAAAATACAAAGAAATTTAGCCATTTCACAAGATATTAAAAGTTAAACTCCCTATTGTTCGGATATATTCTACAGGTTAAAGGTAACAAATGGTCAAAATTTTATTATTGTCAATTTAGTATTGTCAAAGTTTCATCATCAATACACAAAAATATTCTTTAAACCTTTTCCTAAACATTGATTTGGGATTTAAAAAAAAACTTTAATCTAAAATACCCCTTATTTTTAATAACTTTGTATACGATCCTCATAATTAGCTCAATAAATTGTTCAGAAACATATGAAAATGCTAGAGGAATATCTAGCTATGGGTACAAAAGGATAATAAAGATGAAAAGTAGAAAAGGGATTGTAAGCGTTATTTCAAGCCACTCTCAGTGCAAGGATTGCAATGCCTGATTTACCGCGCGATACTCTTGAAACTTTAACCAGATCTAATATGTAAAGATTTTATTCGTTTTTACAAGTCTAAAAGTGATTCTGATCTTGTTTTCTTTTTACGTATAGGCAAGTGATGCGCTCGTCACTTTTGCAGAGAAACCACAAATAAAAAAAAAAACAGTTTTTACAAGAACCTGGATATTTTATTCATATTTGATCAGACAAAGTTTTCATGGGTACCGTTGTAAATCGGACATTGTCATCCGTGTACGGGGAGCCCCTTGAAATTGCGGAAACTATCCCTTACATTGTTTCTAACCTTCTATAAACTCATCTGAATCGATTGTTCCACTATTATCATCATCAAGTGCTTCAAACAGATCTAGAGCCCTTCTTCTGAACATAATTATTTCAATTTACAGGGTGTCCCAAAAAACATGACAAATGAGAGACGGCTTACATATCGTCTTTGATTTTTGCTCTTTATCCAAAAATAATTAATTCCATATACAGGGTGTCCCACAAAAAATGAAAAATAAGAAACGTTTCAGAAAGACCCCTTTTAAGAAGTCTCTGAAATGGCATGTTTGTATTAAATGCTGTACTTTTAAAACTTCGTCCGAAACTGTACCAGTCCAGGTACAATCCGTCCGCTATGAATAGCAAACAGGACATGATCCACCGGCTACAATCCAGTGAACTATCAACACCACTACCACTGGGCGTGATCTCATTAGCTATCGGACACTTGCAATCAATTGATCAATGTCTCAAACAGGACACGATCCACACGGCCACAATCCCGTGAACTATCAACGCCACTACCACTGGGTGAGATCTGGTTAGCTATCGGTGTCAATACGGACACTAGCAATCAATTGATCAATGTCACAAACAGGACACGATCCACACGGCCACAATCCCGTGAACTATCAACGCCACTACCACTGGGTGAGATCTGGTTAGCTATCGGTGGCAATACGGACACTAGCAATCAATTGATCAATGTCACAAACAGGACACGATCCACACGGCCACAATCCCGTGAACTATCAACGCCACTACCACTGGGTGAGATCTGGTTAGCTATCGGTGGCAATACGGACACTAGCAATCAATTGATCAATGTCTCAAACAGGACACGATCCACACGGCTACAAGCATTCAAGGATTAGCGCAGCTAGAGATCCACAGACAATGTACAACGCAATTTATAAAAGTATGTTAAAGCTACATTTATTACATGTTCAGTTGGACACCTGTAGGAAATTCCAGACATTTTGAGAATCTCTTCCCGTGTGTTTCAAAAATGATATTTTTTATTCTAAAGTTTTATCCTTTGTGGATAGCCCTGTAGTATCCCATCTTAAAGCATTATATTGTCTTCTGTACTTGTCCACCAAAATGTCTTCTGATCTTGGCATCTTTGGCCATAAAATATTTTATGTACTTTGACACTTTGTTCACAAAATGTCATTAAAAGAGAAACGAATATTCTAATATTTTGAGCAATTGATGTAATAAATAAATAAATACCTCACATTGAATTGTGTACATTCTCTCCTTGGATCCTAAAAAAATCATTTATATTGAAGTTATTGCTTTAATGATTTGTTCGAAATGTCAAATATGTACAAAAATTTTATGAGTTACCCAAAAATTTTGTTCAAAAAAATTTCATTTAATTTCTTTACGAATTACAATTTTTTTTTTTGTCAAAGAATGAACATAAACGTTTAAGCAAACAATTAAAAGATTCAAAATGGCAATAATATTTTATTTCTTTAATAAGACCTTGTAAATTAATCATTTAAACATTAAAGCGTACCTTAAAGAACCTGTCATGTTTACGATGAACTTTTTCACCGAGTTTCAATTTTGAGTCTTCCGGTGCTGTTTTATCCAAATGATCTATAAAGATTTTTTTAAATAGTTTTGTATTTTAGCATTAATATAGTACCTTACCTTCGACAGCTAGTCCTTGATTTTTTGTTAGTGTAGAAAAGGCTGAGAGTGTTTTTGCTTTTTTGCTTAAACCAATTTTATGTCTTAATTGCTCTTGGATCCCAGCTCGTTTCTTTCTTTCTCTCATACGCTTAATATCTTCAGGAGTTGGCCCGCCGCTATCCTAAACATTTATATATAAACTAGCTTGGGAACCCAGCGTTGAACAGGGTACTCATTGTTGCTTCTGCCGTTTACCCGCACTTAGAGATTTTTACCAGGAGACTAACTTTTCGCTGTAAAAGTCGACCCACTCAACTTGGAAACTCAAAACCAAGCAATGAACATTCCCGTGGTTCTCCCGAGGTCCCTAATCAAAATTTGAGGCAAATCGGTCCAGGCGTTTCTGACTTATGATCGGACAAACAAACAAACATATAAAAAATAAAACAATAGACAAACAGAGATTACAACTTTATATATAAAGATACCCGCCAATATCCTAAACATTTTTATGTAAATACCCGTCACTATCCTAAATATGTAGGTTTAGAATCACCCGCCGATAACCTAGCCATTAGGAGCCTAAACAACAACAGTTTTGTAACAAACAATAAATCACCGCCGTTTTACAGTTTTCAGACGTACAAATATTACCCTTTGTTTCCCTAAAATAAGATTAAGATTATTTTAACTGTTTCTTATTATTTTTTATATTTTTCTTCATTTCCTGTAGTCAACTCCAATAACGCAGATTGTAAACAAAGATTGTAAACAAATTCATTGTAAACAAAGATTGTAAACAGAAATTTATTGTAAACAAAAAAACTGTAAACAAAAATTGTAAACAAAAGTTGTAAACAAAGAGTGTACACAAAGATTATAAACAAAGAGTGTACACAAAGATTATAAATAAAGATTGTAAACAAAACGAAACACCAAGAAAACTGCCATATTTTCTAATTTCTGTTTATTTACTAACCCATTTTCTGACCAGTCCTTACGTCCTACTAAAATTTGCGCAAATCCTATTTCCCCACCTGAAATCTGTTCACTTTGGTATGAAGGATGTTACTTACATGCATAATTTGTGAAAAATATCATCCATCTCGTCTCTAGTAATGTTTCCACTGTTATCTCTGTCATATAATATTACTTAAAACTTTGGAAACCAATCCAAAGTTTTTTCTTAGTCTCACTAACCCTACTCTTTATTGGCAGACAGATTCACAAAATGCTGCCAAGTTCGTTCTCAAGGGCTCACGTAAACCCAAAATTCAACAAGATATGCTAAAAATCAAAATCCTAGAACGAAAATATAATATATTTATTTGTCCAATTCGGACCCCGCGGACACATAGTGACATTGTAATAGCAGATATCGGTTCTAAACTTGCAACAAGCACAGATGAGTTCAGTATTTCAATTCTAAGTCTGAGAGTACTTTTTTTCCAACTTTAAATTGTTTCCGACAGTAGATGCTATGGCTTCAGATAAAAATTTCAAATGTTCAAAATTTTACTCTCTCATCCCACAAAAGTATAGTGACTCGATTAATTTTTTTGCCCAATCTCTCAACTCATGTGAAGTGTACTATTGTTGTCCCCCTGTGAAAAGTATCATTCCAGTAATCCGGAAAGTTTTAAGTTCACCTATGGTAACCATGATTTTAGTTATCCCTAATTGGCCAGTAGCTAATTTTTGGCCTTACCTATACCCTTCAGGAAAGTTTCTGCCAGAAATTAAAGATTTCTTAATTTTCACCCCAATCTTTGATCATAGTCAACCATCTTCGCTTTTCAACAAAAAATCTCATTCCTTCATAGCATTTAAAATTGTAACTTGAAAACTGGTTCCTCGGAAATTCTAACCCTAGTTATTTTTTCTTTCTTTTTTTGGCCTTAAAATTTTTTAAAAACATCACAGTTCTTAATTTTCACTCAAGATAAACTTTCTCGTTTATTATTTAATTTAATGTATTTTTGTAATTTTGTAATTTTGTACTTAATTTTGTAATTTTGCAATTTTATAATTTTGTGTTATTATACTTTTGTTATTTTGTAATTGCGAAAGTAAAATATTGCGTAAATTTGTTAAATAAATTATAGTTGATTTAAATCTTATTTATTCTTACAATGCTTATATTGCTGCTCAATAAAATGTTATTATCCAGATGGGAAATAATGGCAGTAACCCGACTATTATCTCTACAGAGCTTAACAAGCAGTCCACTTCAAACGCTAATATCTTGCCAGGTGTCTTTTTAACCTATTTAAACTAGCTAATACCATATTTTCAAAAAAATATACATTTATTACTCCTGTTTAGAACTCCACGTTCAATCCCAGCCCGTGATTCAAGAATCCGACCTACCCACTCAAATTGTTTCCAGAAGTATTGTAAATAATCTCGACGGACTAATTGTTCCTTTTAATCTTGATATAACCTTGTTTCCCGAAGTAAACAAATTCTTAGAAAAAAATCCTTCCCTTATTGATGCTGCAAACATAATGTTAAAACCATCTATAGCGGCAAGCACCGTCTCAGCCTATAAACCTGTTATTGAAAATTATAAACTGTTCTGTCTTGACAACAGTTATAATCTGTCTGACCTAACTGAACAACAAATACTCGAGTTTATTGGAGTGTCATTCTCGCAAAAACCCCTTCTTTCTTACTTCAATCTACTTTTACCGAGTATTTCTTGCTCAGAAAAACTAGTGAAAGACTCGTCATTAAATTCTTGTATAACTCCTAAAATCAAGTCAATCATGCAGAGTTTTAAAAGGAAATTGAGCGAGTCTAAAAAGCCTACAAAGAAAGGAACTCTTTATAAAATAGATAATTTCAAGCCCATCATTGATAAAGAAATTTTACCCTTCCAGCATAACCCAGAAAGAATAAATTCGTGTCACTTCAGATCGGTTTTCAGAGCTATAATTCTCTACTTTACTTTTTGCCGCTTCAGCGATTTTAAAGACTTGTGTGACCAAGATTTTATTGATCATGAAGACTTTATAGAAATAGTATTCAAAAAATCAAAAAATGATCAGTATTATAAAGGGTCCAATTCAATTTTGACAGTGAATGAAAATTCTAGTATATGTCCTGTTTTTCTTACAAAATTATATTTCAAGAAATTTGGATTAAATTTTTTCCAAGCTGGATTTGAAAGAAACTATGTTAACTTTAGAATCGTTAATAAAAACAGCTCCCGGAGAATTCCAAAGACAAAATTATCAAATTCAAATGCAACAAAAAATACCAAAAAACTGCTTAATTCATACAATGTAAATGCACAAAAATTCACTGAAAAATCCATGAAAATAGCCGGAGTTACTGCCTTATTAGACTCTGGAGAGTCTTTGGAAAATGTTGCAATTGCAGGACGTTGGAAATCGAGTCTAACTCCAATGCATTATAGGAATACAAGTTATAATTTTCGCAAGCAAATCTCAAAAAATATTCCCCATACAAATGTTTCATGAAAAATTTTAATTTATCATTCCAAATTTTGGTTTCTTATTTTTTCGTTTTTATGTAGTTATGTAGTTACTCCTATAATGGGGCATTTGATATTATTGTTCTTAATAATTAAATAAAATATACTTCTATTCTACAAGTTATTTGATAAGCAAGATAGTTTCATTTAAATCAACTATTTACCGAAAGCAAACTTCTCTCAATTCAATTCGTCTTTCTCTTTTTCTTTCTAGTTAGAAAATAAATCCAACCTAAAACCGAATCTGCATGTTCATTTTTCGTAAATCTAGTTCGCAGTTTGTGTTTCTTTCTCTTTGTGACTAATATTGTTTGAAATTCGCGTATATGTTTATTTGCAATCAAAGAATATTAATTTTTTGCGAAGTAAAAGTCAGCTAAAAACGTAGCAAAAAATTAATATTTGATGTTTTAGAGGTTCAGTTCAGGTAATTNGTATCTCAAAGGTTCTGTAAAAAATAAATTGCACTGCAAGGTTGCGAACCAATACAATAGTGATATAAAAAGTTATTTCGGTAATTTTTCCCACCTGTTCCCTTCATGGACATAGAGAAAGCAAGAAGTAGTTGATCGAACCCAATTAGTCCAGTTCCTTCAGGATCAAATATTATATAAATATTCTCAGTCACCATCTCATGATCAGACCTGCAATATGAAAAAGCCTTTTCTCATGGTTTTTATGTTACAAATGCATCTAAGATCATTATCAATTTTAAAATGTTTTTCTAAAAGCTGTACAAAAAATTCAGAAAACTGTTCAGATTTCGTGGTTTTTCCGCTCAGTGTTAAAAGGACTGTGGGTTTAAGATTTAAGATTTGACTGCGTCTGTAACCCTTTAAATGAAGTATTACTTGATTTAACGTCGAGATTCCCTTTAAAGTCTTATATTTTCTGAGTATCCCTTTACCTGGGAAATATTTTCTTAACCAGCCTGAACAGCTGATCCTTCGTCATGCATCCATTAGGTAGATCCTTCTTGAATGAATTCCACATCATAACAATCTCATATTCAGTAAATCGAGTTTTCTAAATACAAATAATTCTAATACAGACAAAGGAAAAATGTTTATTTCTGTGCATTTTCCATTGTTTCCTATAGTCAAAAACTGCGAAAGTCACTTTTGCAGAGAAACCCCAAAAGAAAAGAAACATTTTGAATAAAAAAACATGCATATTTAGTTCATACTTGATCAGACAAAACTTTGAAGGGTACCTTTGTAAATCCGGCATTGCTATCTTTGCAAAGAGGGTCACTATAAATTACGTTTATAGTCCCTTTAAGTTTAAAGGAGCCCTCCATTAAATAATTCGTGGCATGTCAGATTCACTACGACATCCTTTACACCTTTGTCTGATTAGAGATAAATGAGAAATCTTTGCTTTTTCTGAGTTAAAATTGGTTATTTGTATTTCAAGACAGAGATACGACTTAATTTTTGTTACTCAGATAAAGGCAGGTTTTAAGGTTACAGAATCGGATAAAACACTTTGTGATTAGAGGCTCACCGGAGATAACGTCTACAGAGTAGGGTTGTTAATCATTTTGGAAAACGATCATTAAACGATCGTTTTTTCGTTTTCCTATCGTTTTTTTTTCGTTTTCCGATCATTTTAAAAACAATCGTTTTAAAAACTTTTTAAAAAAACGATATTTTTTAAAAAGATCGGAAAACGAAAAAAACGATAGGAAAACGAAAAAAACGATCTTTTTTCAAAAAAAATGAAAACGTTAACAAACGTTCAGAAACGGTTTTTTTTGGGGGAGAAATGAACTTTTACCTCTTTGAGCTTATAGAACTCAACATCATGCACTTTGGAGTCGTCTATCATAATTTTCGGTATTTTTCCATTTTTTAAGTTCATTTTGAAAATCTGGAAACAATGTATAAAATGCTAAAAATTGTACAATTATGAAAATTTTGAAGTCATGAAAATAAAATTATGATATCCTCAGATCTTCAGATCCTAAGATTCAAAAGATCCAAAGACCTTGATATCCTAAGATCTTGAGATCCTAAGATCTTGAGATCCTAAGATCTTGAGATCCTGAGATCTTGAGATCCTAAGATCTTGAGTTCCTAAGATCTTGAGATCCTAAGATCTTGGATCCTAAGATCTTGAGATCCTAAGATTTTGAGATCCTAAGATCTTGAGATCCTAAGATTTTGAGATCCTAAGATCTTGAGATCCTAAGATCTTGAGATCCTAAGATCTTGAGATCCTAAGATCTTGAGATCCTAAGATTTTAAGATCATAAGATCTTGAGATTCTAAGATCCTGAGATCCTAAGATCTTGAGATCCTAAGAATTTGAAATCCTAAGATTTTAAGATCATAAGATCTTGAGATCCTAAGATCTTGAGATCCTAAGATCTTGAGATCCAAAGATCTTGAGATCCTAAGATCTTGAGATCCAAAGAAATTGAGATCCTAAGATCTTGAGATCCTAAGATTTTAAGATCATAAGATCTTGAGATCCTAAGAATCTTGAGATCCTAAGATTCTGAGATCCTAAGATCCTGAGATCCTAAGATCCTGAGATCCTAAGATCCTGAGATTCTATCCTAAGATCTTGAGATCCTGAGATCCTAAGATCCTGAGATCTTGAGATCCTAAGATTTTAAGATCATAAGATCTTGAAATCCTAAGATCTTGAGATCCTAAGATCCTGAGATCCTAAGATCCTGAGATCCTAAGATCCTGAGATCCTAAGATCCTGAGATCCTAAGATTCTGAGATCCTAAGATCCTGAGATCCTATCCTGAGATCTTGAGATCCTGAGATCCTGAGATCCTAAGATCCTGAGATCCTATCCTAAGATCTTGAGATCCTGAGATCCTGAGATCTGGCCTGAGATCCTAAGATCTTGAGTTTCTATACTAAGATCTTGAGATCCTGAGATCTTGAGATCCTAAGATTCTGAGATCCTATCCTAAGATCTTGAGATCCTGAGATCCTAAGAGCCTGCATGCTTGAATGGTTGAGGAAAACTGAAAACCAACAAAGTTGTAAATAGTTTACCAGTAAACGATTAGAGGTATAAACAATAAAAGAAAAAAACTTAAACATGTAGAAAAACTTTTTTCATTTGTTTTGTTAAACTTGCATTATTTATTTAATTATTGGCAAAGTTAAAATTTGCAATAAATTCAGATTTTTTTTGTCACCCTTGAGACCCTGGTGTAAAAAAAATGTTCAAACTACGTTTGGAGGTACTTATTGACCAAAATTATTAGAGTCTGAAACTTTATTAGACTTTCTTTTTTCTTTTTCCGGATTTGTAATTATTAACAAAGTTAATAATTTTAATCTTATTTGAATCTTTCTTGAAGATTTCACAAAAACAGCTAAGAGTCAAAACATTTAAAAATTTGTATGTATCCTTTGTTAATTTGAAGCTAGAATCATCCGAACTTTTTCAAAGTTACCGTCTCCCGGTTTAGAAACATGCAAGGACAACATTCTTTTATCATAAGTTGTGTAAACTTTAATTGATCCAAGTTTTTATAAATATTTTACAAAGATTAAAAAATACTTATTATAACTTTTCAGGGATAATTATATTTTACGATTATTGTTCATTAAATCATAAAAATTCTAAGGGACCCCAAAAAAAGTTTGGATAACTAAAGATATAACAAAGATCGAGTTATCAGCACAATAACCCCTCCCCTATTCTACTCCAATTGGTTTGGTTTGATTAAAGAAGTTTCACTAATGGTATAAATACAAATGGCCTACAGAAAAACGTTGAGATTCTTAAAAATAAAGATTATTACTCTAGATTACTAACAAATGTCTTCAATAGAATGTACACAAATACTACCTAAGGCTAAGTAATAACCATGTCCAAGGTTCATTCAAAATCCCTAAAAAGGACAGTAAATGTAATTTCAAGTGACCCTCCATGCAAATATTGCAATGCCTATTCACAAGAATATACTTATTACTTAAAAGCTTTTTCTGATCAAGAGTACGCTATACAAGGGATGTTTAATAAATTTAGCAAAAAATGTTAAAGGTACTTCTAGACAGGCCCGGTGCACCCCCCATTCTTCTGAAAGGGGGGTACAATGACGAATTTGCACCCCCCCCCAGTCCCATATAAAAGAAATTGTTTCTCATAATTTTCTAAAATCTAGTTACCAATAATATAGATCAAGCAAGAGATGATTCCCTTCCAAAACCAAATTATAATCTTATTGTGTGTTACTAATTATAATAGCCATTTTTGGGAGTTTCAAAAACATTATTTTAAGCGAGGATATTTGTCATTTTTAGTCAAAGTAGAAGGGTTTTTTGAGTACTCGAAAATTCACTAAGAATGTCTCAATGTCTCAATGTCAATAAATAAACTCTTTTAAACAAAATATTAGAAATTTTATTTTTTATTCATCTTCATAATATCATGATGAGGCCGAGGGACAAGAAGCCTTGATTTTAAATAATGAATTTTTTCCTTAAGCTAAAGTACCATTCATTTATTTTTTATGTATATTGTATATGTAAACTGAAAAGTTTCAGACACTAAAATGTAACCCTTAAAAGCTTAAATACACTTGTTAAAAAGGTTAGTCTAATTATAGCGTACATTGACAATGTAATAAAGAAAATCATATACCACCGTAAAAACAAACCAAGCATTGCTTTTTAAAAAACCAAAAAAAAAAATTTCGCCGGCGGCGCGCTTCTATGCACCCCCCTGAAAATATCCTGGTTACGGGCATGCTTCTAGACGTCTTAGCCCTGTGATTTTGTTTCAATGCTCACTGTATTCATACTAGTTGTCTTCTCCCAACAGACTTTATACATCAAACTTTTTATTTCTATGTAATTTGCATTTACACGGAGGTTGTTTAGTTTCATTGTCACAGTACAGAAACGTTTTAGTACAAACCCGGGAAAAGAGTATACCTGGGATGCTCGATACACAAAAACTTGGGCCTTAAAATTTCCAAATACCAATTAGACACCTTTTTAAATGATCCAAAATGCATTTAAGTAGCATAATATGGACAACGCAACAGTCTACATGTAGCAAATATCTTGTAACATGATATTTTGTAAACCTGCAGTACGTTGTATACTTTAACAATCTATTTTTGTAAACTTATCCGTAAAAACATTTTTCATTAAGACTGCGTTTCAATTGATTATGTACAGGGCGTCCCACGAAACATGACAGTTGATAAATAGTTTTGAATGTCGTCTTCCATACACTGTATTAGATATTAAAGGCTGTTTGCAGTTTATTTCGTTTAAAAAATCTTTTGCTCTAGTTTATTTTACTTTGAAATTAATGTTACTATAATATGACTCCTAAATAATGTTTTTATTATTGTCTTTCGTATTAAAAAACTTATCAAATTATGGAAGAAGACATTCTAAACTATTTATACCAACTGTCATGTTTCGTGGGACACCCTGTAGCATGATTAGCTTAAATCATGGGATATATAATCTAATTATGTCCTAAATTGTGCCGATTTCAACTGTGCTGTAATGCGTAACATGATTGCCTTTATCATGTAATAATTGTTATTACGTCTTTTAACTTTAGCTTGTAATGTATAAACCGAAAATACACTAGTTGATAGATTAACTCTTTACCTGTTTACTGAGAGAGAGTAATCGTTCCCTGTTCTAACAGGTTGAAGATCGCCCCCTTTGATTTGAGATTGATAGTTAATAGCTTGTTTGATAGCTAGGCTTGTGTTCCCGTGTGGCATTTAGAGCATGATTAATAGCTTGTTTGATAGCTAGGCTTGTGTTCCCGTGTGGCATTTAGAGCATGATTAATAGCTTGTTTGATAGCTAGGCTTGTGTCCCTGTGTTGCATTTAGAGTATGATTAATAGCTTGTTTGATAGCTACCCTTGTGTCCCTGTGTTGCATTTAAATTATGATTAATAGCTTGTTTGATAGCTACGCTTGTGTCCCTGAGTGGCATTTATAGCTCGATTAAGAGCTAGTGTTCGTTTTGACATTGATGGCTAATTAGATCGCGCCCAGTGATAGTGGCGTTGATAGATCAGAAGATTGTATCTGTGTGGTTCCGTGTTTTGATAAACAGGTTGAGGATTGTCCCCTTTGATTTGGCATCAGTAGTTATGGGATTGTATCCGGGTTTAAACATTGATAGTGAAACTAAACTGTACCTGGATAGATTCGTTTTGAGGACTTTTTATGGAGTACGCATTTACTACAACGGTGGTAGCAGCGGTTTGAATCAAGGAACCTTGATTAAATGACATAGACTCCAAGGAACAATGAAGTAACAAGTTGGGGACAGTGTGAACAGAGCATAAGAATAGACAGTTTTAAATTGTACCCTAGAGAACACAGTGAAGAACCAGACATCAGAATACCAAACATGAAGGAAACCGGAAAAGCGGGTGGAAACCTTCAGTACAAATAATTGGAAATCCTGAAGTAGAGATTGGAACAAGAACTTCAATACAAGGATATGGAAGCCAAGCTGAATTAATTAACGAGAATTAAGAAAAGAGCGCAGAGAAAGATCCAAAAAGTAAGAACAATGTCGGAACAGAACAAGAAGATAGATGAATCACAACAACTTATAGAATATCTACAGAAAGTAGTGAAAACAGAGGAAGCAACCGAGTATACATATGACGAGATGTGTGATAACTATTATAGTACAAGAGAAAGAGTACAAGACTTCATTGAAAGAGCTCCCAAATATAATGGAAATCCAGAGACAATGTTCGAATGGTGCGAAAACTTGGAAACTCACCTGCAAAACGATGATGGGGAAACAATCCAAGATAAAAATACAAAAAGGATGATTGTGTTATGTATCATGGGAGCAGCTAGAAGAGAGATAATACCATTTTTTTCAACT